CAACCGCCGACAGGATAAACCAATTCTCAGCGACCGTCGCCAAATCCCTCCGCTTTCTACAGTGTCAGGCGCTGCCCACAGAACCGTCCGACAACAGTTCTCACAGAGGAAGAGGAGGGTTGGCTGAGTGAAGAGGGATGTATTTGCCAGTCTGTAGATCTGGCAAGGAGAAAAGAAAAACAAAAAGGAGAAAAAAAAACCCCCAACCCAGAAACCCCAGCCCAACTTACCTGATTTTCACTTTGAAGAAAGGAAAACAAATCCAGACCTAGAAAAATAAAAAGGGGAAAAATAAATCTCTCAATGGTAAATAAACTTCTGGCAGGAAGGGGAGCCCAGTCGCGCTCGTGGAGAGACAGAAACAGACAGGTTGAGACTGCTGCCGAGCGCACGATACCACGGTACTGTCAGCTCCAACTCCGGCTACAATCCCTCTGCCACTCATCGCGCAGCCTCGGCGGTGGAACAGCACAGGGCAAATTAAACCTCACTTCTCTGGAGCTGCCGTGGGGGCTGGCACCCAAACCAGGTTCCAGCCAAGCTCAGCAAACCGCGAAGGGCTGGGTCGGCACAGCCCCGACCGGGCTGGCGACACCGCGACACTTCGAACCGCTCGGCAAAAGCTGCTCAAACGAACTCCATCAGACGGCAACCGCGCAGGCATCAAATCAGGCACGAGGAGGGACGCGCAGACTGCACGCAGGACCGAGGGATTATTCTCAGGTCTCTACCGCTGACCTGAGCTGGACTCCAGCCCGTCGCTTCATCTCTCTGCGGAGCAGCATCCCTACCCGTAAAACCAGGCTTTAAATGCCCGCCTTCCCGGGGACAATCCAGGCCTAACTCACTCCTGCACACACCCGGGGATCCCCAGACCGGCCGGTTCCTGGGAATGGTTTATTATTTACTACTCGGGACAGGAGCCTCTCTTTCCTTCTGCTGGCTTAGGACACAACCCATCTCACACCCTGCCAGCCAGGAACAAGAAGAACCCACTAAAAGAAGCCACGGCCTCATTTCCTCGGCGGCCCTGGGACACACTGAGCGCTGCCAGCCAAAACCCAGGGTGTTCCTAACGGATTTCAAGCAATTCTGTCCGTCAAGATCCCCTCGAGAAATCTCTCCGGAGTCGTGCCCCAGGAGGAAGAGGTGGTCTAGTTTCCTTCTTCCCTCTTCTGTGTTGGGCCGGTGAACTTGTCACTCAAAAAAATGCTCGCTCTGTCCCACAGTAGCTGCCGGGCCAAGACAGACGACGCGTGTGAGTGACCCGAAGGCGTCCACAGCTCAGTGGAAGAGAAGGCCGACAGAGCCGGCTCTTAGTCTGGTAAACTGGTACGATCGCGCCTATCTGGTAACCGCTGCCAGAGGTCTTTGGTGTTACCTTGAAGCTCGGAGGGCATCTGGTAGGAAGGATGGTAGTCAGGAATGGGGAGGTTGGGGAGATAGTCGCTGCCGAGAGCTGCCATGGGAGGACTTCGAAGCACAGATGACGGCTGGTGATCGATACTCAATACCCTGAAACAGAATACAGACCCGAGGGACCTTAACAACAGCAAAACAGCATGCTGAGGGCAAAAAAACCACCTCTCACCCTGATGCTACCACACCTACGGCAAAAGCAAGCCCTCCCTCCTCCCGTCACCTTGCCCAGGGACAGAGCAGACTCAGATCTGGTTATTCAGGGAAGGAACCGAGCAGAGAGCAAGAAGGAAAAGAAGCCAAAGCCCAGCAAAGCGGGGAGGGTCGGGTTCCTGCGCTGCCTTACCCCTTGGGCCCGGCTGTCGGAAGAAAAACACTGCTTCTTGGCAGGCGGCTCCTCCTCCTCCGATGAGCTGTCCAGAGTGAGATCGATAACCTCCACTTTTTTTTTACCCTCCGAAGCGTTCTTGCCCTCGGAGCTCACGGTGTAAAGGGAGCTGGCTGCGGAGGAAAATCAGCGATCAGCTTCAACTGCTGAAATGGAGACGAGCGAAACACCACCGCCTCTGCAAGCGCTGCAACCCCGCGACGTACTCGGGGCTTCCAAACAGCTCGTAGCAAATCCACGCCCCATCCCAGAACAGAAGCGTCACCCCCACACTAACGGTCAGGTCTCCGTAGCCCACCTGGAATTAATGCTGCAATTTCAAGAGGAACCTGCATTTTTCTTGCTTTTTCTAGCACTTACTCCACAGCAGTGTGTAAGTGCCTGTCATGCTCCTGGTATTCCAAATACTGGCTCCCAGATGGGATCCGAAACGCTCCAGATGTTGCTTTGTAGATGTAAATGTTGCTTTGGCCAAAAAAAAAAAAAGTTGTGACCACAGGTCCCCTACCTTCGATCCCACTGAACGCAGACGTCTGGCACACCTCCTGGTTCTCCTTCTTTGGCTTCATGGGACACCAGGAGCCATCCTCCATGAACTGTATCTCATCACAGTCCGTACAGGAGTTCAGGATTTCCATGAACAACCTGCCGGGTGAGAGCGCAAGCTGGGGAGAGCAAACACTCCAAGGACTCGCGCATAAACACAGGGACGCGCATAAACACAGGGACGGCAGAAGCGACACAGGGCCGACGGTGCTCAGGAGATGGGTTAAAGGGGGTACAAAGAATTTCTGTTCTAAAAATCTGTGCCAATATCACCTGCAAGTTTAGTTTTATGACGAGCTGTTCAACGTACATAGGAGGGCTCTGTTCAAACCCGGTAAAGCAGGTTCCCCCATGACTGCCTCTGCAGAGACTGCCAGCGAGGAAGCCAAGATTTTGACAAAGGCTTCTTGTTGTTCGGGAGAAATCTCTCCGGATTGGCATCAAAGCAGTTTAGGGAATGAAAAAATCAATTTTAAGTTGTTTGAGGCTGTAAGTTGTCTATATATACTAGCATTAGAGGATAAGCCTTAAAAGAAAAACATTATCCGGGCTAAAGACTAGGTAAGAAGCCTGTTCAGCTCACCCGTCGATTATCAGGTTGTCGTATGGGGCTTTCTTATCACACACAGGACAGGTCCAGGTGGGTTTCTTCTCGTTCATTTGAAGATAGAGCGCTGCATCGAAGCACTGGAGGTGGGTGCACGTGATGGCTCGGCAGGGCACAATCAGCCTCATCTTACCCAGCTAGGGGACAAGAAAGAAGAAATGAAGTTGGTTTTGTACAAACCGCCTCTCCGGCGCCACATCAAGTCAGCGGTGTTATCCCCTGTTTATTCCCTCTTCTCCCCTGCACAACGCTCTAGCGTGTTTAGCAAGGCGAATGTTAAACTAAATGTCAACGAAGAATTAATGTGTGAGAGAAAACAAGCTTTCCTGAGGGTATTTTTGCCTTTTCTTTAAGTTTTTTAAGCTCACTTCCACCTCAAACACATGCTAATAGCAAAGGTGAAAGACAACAATCAGGTCAGAAGACAGTTCAGGCCAACGATCTCGGCAATTTTTTAATTTTTTTTTTAGGCACAAAATAAAGCGATTCTGCTTTTATTTAAGGAATCAAAGCTGGTTTTTCAACAAAAGCAGGGCTGCAGCAGCACTAGCTCTCCTCTCACTCCAAAGCATTCGTACAGCAGTAAGGTAAAGCGGGAAGCTGTTCGCAAAGGCCTGTCTGAGAAAAAGGAACAAAAACGTAGAAACCTACTGGACACATCAGGGAAACTCGTAAGCTCGTTGTAGCTATCTCACTGTCAGGATCAGCTGTTAGTTTTTCTTTGACTGAAAGAAGAGGAGGGGAAAAAAGGTCTCCTGTCAACATCCTCCTTCTTTTACATGCATAAATAGGTACAGACACGATTTATAATTTGCAGCGTGACACTTATCCAAATTACAGGCAGGTAACGCTTACGACAGCGGACATCGTTACTATTATGTTAACAGCTCTAGCAAGAGTCTCCTTGGCTCGATGCAGCACAAGGAGACAGTCCCGACCTTAAAGATTCTACTGTAAAATGACAGCGCAGGGAAACAGCGTTCAATTGGAGCAGGAAGCAGTGCCGGCTCCGCTCCCGCTGCCGCTCACGGGACAAATGTTTTGGAAGTATCACGCCAGAGATGGGCGGCGATCAGAAGAAAAGTTCGATTTAGAGCTTTGTTGAATGGCGTCACCGAGAAATACTCCGTAATCTTCACAATCCTTACCTTCCCATCAACGGGACGCAGCGGGAGCGCGCGGGTTTGTGAGAAGGGACGCACACAAAGACCCGCGCTGCCCTCGCTCGCTAATTCAGACCTGCTCCCTCTTTCCAGGCTCGGCACCAGATCAGATCAAGCACGGTTCCACCTTCACCGGTGGTACTTACTCAGAGCTCGCGAATGGTCTGGATTTCGGATGCCCTTGGCTCTCAGCTTCTGCAGCAGCGTTACTGATGTCAGCTGCTTCACCAGGTACACCGACAGAGAGTAGTTCTGTTGAAAAGAAGTTGAAACTGCTCAGACGTAGAAAAACCCACCGGAAAGGAGAGGGACTTCTGGATCCACATCGCTTGATGCTACTGCCACAACGACCTCGATTCTGCCTCGCAGATGCGAGGCTGCAACAACAAAAAAAAACGGTAGTAAAGGAACAGCAGCAAATGCGAAAGGGCTTTCGCCTCGCTCACCCTGCCAAACTCCGAGGACCAGTTCACTACAATCGTGTTGGGGACAGTTGCCGAAAGTCGCGCCAAGGGAGTGATGTTGACGGGGCGGCTGGGTCGTTTCGGCTCTGCGCCGTTTTTTGTGGGCGGGAGATAACCCTGCAAAGAAAGAAAGATTACCTGATATACCATAAATTCTCTCCGAGGTGTAAGGCCACGCACAAGAATCTACAAGCCCGATTTCTTCATGTACCTCAAGGCATTTCACGTCACCCCACAGCTCGTAGGAGAATTTCTCTACAAATCTCAAAGCAGTACATTATTATTCCTCAGCGTCAAGAAATGGAGAATAAAGGTTCCCTCCAATATCCTTTACGCTGACGAGCGCACTGGAATCCCATCATAAGCTGAACCTCTCCACAAAGACGGAGCTGCCAGTCTGGGATGTGCTGTGCACAAACGGCATTGAATTAAAAACCAAATCCTACCCGCGTCAACGAGGCTGGGAAGCTAAAAAAATGACATCCCATGACAAATCTCACGTCAATCTCATTTTCCCTTCATTATATCCACATTCCAACTTGATTAGAAAGCCATCCCATTCTTTAGCCCAAGACTGCCTTTTCTGTAATTCAGAGAGATTTACACCAGCGTGCTGGTTTTTTGTCATCGCCGTCAGTCAGACCGGGCAGCTCGAGACTGATTCAGCAGCCAACCGTCACTTTAAGCAGAATTAAACAAAAAAACAACAAAAAAAAGCGTCCCCGTTGAGCTGCCGTGCCGCAGGAACAGCTTTGCAGCTGCAGATGACTCACCCAAATGAACGCAAGAAACCTTCTCTGAGAGCAGAAGCTGGGGGGGGACCCTTTAGCCATCTTGTATCTCACATGCACTTCCCTATTCCCACCCCACGAGGCCGGAAACGACTTCTTTCTCTTTTTCTTTTTTTTTTTTTTTTTAAGTGGCTTACTAATTGTCCCGGCCAAAAGCAGACAAAACATTTGAGGTAAAAAAAAAATTAAAATAAATGCAAATCTCTAAAAATATTACGGGAGTGGCTGAGAGGATCAGGTTGTTCTGCAGGTTGGGTTGCCAAAGGTGCCAGCTGTAATGGAGCGGAGCCAGCGTGGGACAGCTGACAGGGAACTGGCCTAAGACCGTCAAACCTCTTTTCCTAGGTGTGACACAGAATCGTGTCCCTTTTGGACTGTACACTGGGGCAGAATATAATATTTCTGATTATATTTTTAGGTATTACACAGGGCAAAAGACCCCAGCCCTGAGTGGAGCATCCAGGTCTTCCTGCGACGCGATAAACTAAAGGCGGTGTTGTTATTCCATTAATCTCAGATTTTACTCTGCATTTTTATTATCAAGTTTCTTCTCAAAAGAGGCATGCCAAAGAAAAAAAAAGAAAAAGAGAGGGAATCTGCTGCTTTAAAAAAAAAACCACCAAACCCAGGCCCAAACTTGGCACATCCTTCTAGTTCCAGACCACACTCCTTGAATCAAAGAGCAGTTTTCATCACCAATCCGCAGCCCTGTAATGCAAAATCAGTTTTACACTAACCACACCATTTCTTCAAGTCAATCTTTAATCTCCGGATAATACATTCCCACTGCACTCACTGGGAGCTGCAGCTGCGTAAAAGGGCAGACTTTACAACATATTAAGAAGAAATAAGATTTACTCACAGGCAGGGGACAGAGTTTTCCATTGACCTTGACAAATAAATTAGGAGGGAAGTAATCTTCTTGGGGACAGCTGGTTTCACACAAGCAAAACCTAAGAAAGCAGGAGGGAGAAACTGGCAAGTGAGTGGTGACACTCGCAAAAAATGGCAACCAAACTTCCCTGTAAAAAGGGAAAAAACATTTTCTGAGCAGAACAGATCGACAGCTGGAAACCACATAAGCAGCTCAACAGCCCTACACGTGTGTCAAAGCCTACGTGCGGCAAAAACAGTAAGAAAGACAGAAAAACGCCAGCGACTTAAAACAACGCGCACGCTGTGAAGCACACGGGGAAGGGCTGGTTTTATTCAGCCCAGATGACGATTTTGGCTATCCGGAATCGTGGTTTCAAAGGCAAACCGTATTTCTTTGGCCTAAGGGTGTGTTCACGTGCAACTTCACCTATAGATTCTGCAGCACTTCCAGACGAAAGGAACTACATTTCCCAACATGAGCACCTGGTGTCCCGCTGTTGGCTGGGATAGAGTTAATTAATTCTTCCTGCTTGGACTCTCTCAAAGCTCATCCACCACCGCTCGACATCCTACCGTTGCCTTCCTCATCATAAAGATGTCAGCGCCAGCAACCCAGAACGGGCTGTGATTCAAACCCTAATCCCATTTCATCAGACGGCCGCGCGCTCTATTTTTTCCTCAAAGGAGGGTGCTCCGCCAGAGACGACTCCCCACGCCGAAACCACAGTCCCGCCGCGTAGCCGTGAGTCAGACGGTGACCTTGGCCGGCTTTTTCTGGGCTGCCGGATCAAGCCCTGGCACATCAAGATGATGCCGGGCCACACCGCCAATGTTCTCGAAAAATAAATCTGATCTTATTGTTTTTTAAGCGCTCTCTGCTCTCCAAATAAAACAAAGAATAAAATTGAGAGTTAATCTTTTCCCTGCTTGGGAACACGAGAATACCACATACACTGAAGCATGTCAGCAAGAGAGAAGAAATGGTTCCACCATCGTTTTTAAGTCCTAAAGTTTGCTGAACAAGGGTTTACTTCTCCCCAGGAGGCTCCAGAAGGAAAATACTGCTGGACTATTTGGTAAACTCTGTTTCATCGCCAACATCCGAAACGTATAGACTGAAATCGGTCCTTCCAAAACACACGCGGTGTTGTTTTGCACTAGAGAAGAGGCATTTCCAAGCGTCCACCCCCCGATGCATTTCAGGGAACGGGGCGCCCATGTGCTTCGCTCCACCAGCTCCGTGCGCAAGAGCGGAACAGATGGACACAGCGGGAAAACAGCGACGTAAAGCCCCAAATCAGAGAGGCAGCATCACCGAACCATAATTAGTACAGAGCGCCCTCCTGAAAACCAACAGGCTCTCTTTTGAATTAAATCAAAGTCTTGACTTTCAAACAGCCGCTTTCCTTCAGGCTTCCAGATATCACATCTAAAGCCCTACGTTCCTCATTGCTTTTTTCCCCTGAGAGTACAGTACTGATTCTCTTTCTCTTTGCCAAGTTCAAACCCCCAATAAGAAAATTTAACATTTTTTTAACCCTGCCAAGGGTTGAATGTTGGGCAAGAGCCTCTTCAGTTCCTGTTCAGGGCCGCAGGACAGCATGGGCAGGCACTTAAACAATCCCCCCGGCACTGACGGCAAGAACCAGAGGGTAATTCCTGAAGCACTTTCAAGTATTTTTCTACTCACACTCTCCAACATGTCTGGCATTTTCATGAGTAATAATGTGGATATCAAAAAACCTTACAATTTCAAGGTAAGGTAGTTTTTGCCTCTTACTCCGCCTTTTGCAATGGATCTGCAAAAAGGCAAATAATTAAAACGGAGCAGGGAAAGAAGTGAGTTCTAGATAAGCGTGCAAAACTCGTGCAAAATTGAGAAAACTCATGTGCAAGGCCATGTTGCCCGTGCCAGCCAAGTGCCACCGAGACACAACTCACTCAGACTCGCCGAGTTCAGAAAGACCCTCGTGGGTTGGTGTTGCACAACGCGGTTTATCAGAGGCTCCCTCCCGTATAGGAACCCGGCATTCAGAACGCAGCAGCAAACATTTTAAACTCCCTCTGAGTAAATCGACACACAATTTCAAACCAAATCAAGGGCTAAAAGCGTGATCGAGCAAAATCAAGGACAAAGGAACACGAGCTCAGGGAACAGGACTTAATGGGTTCATTAAAAAGACCTTACCTTAATTGCACCTGTATAGTGTAATCACATTTGGCACCTGGTAAGATATCTCTGCAACAGAAACGGTGTTAAGACTGTCAGCAGCGCTTAACAGAGAATTACAACTGCAACAGTGTAATGTTTTAGTAAATTATATTGATATCGATACGTGTTAAGTGTATTTTGCATAAAACCAGTGTAGCTGAATTGTAAAAACAGGTAATACCTGCCTGAACTAGGAGGCAAAATTCCCAAACAAGGACAGAAAGCAAAAGCCCATCGGACAGGAGAGAGAATGGTTGGAAAAGGAGAAAAATCAACCTCAAAATTTCTTCCTACTGCTGAGTTTTAGGAGTATAATGCCAACCCCTGGCTTGCCAATGCAAACACGTGATCGTAGTCCTAAATTTTGGGATGAACTAGCATGTTTTTATCCAAATCCCTGTATTTTCTTTCTTCCATACAATAATTCCACTCTCTCCCATTCTTCCTCCCGACTCCGCTCTCCATTCTGCCACGGAAGAACCTGCAGCCACGGCAGGGAAGCCACACGCACGACACCATTTCACTTACCGGGAGGTGAGGATCTGTTGAACTTGCTGGGGGGTTAAAGCAAAGGTGAAGTGAGCTTCCTCAAACCGCTGACTGTTCATTGAGGCTGAAGAAGAGAATTTAAGACAAATTAAATCATCGTTAAGTCACTGTTATACCTGCAGGCGCCAAGCACTAAAAGCAGAAGGCAATCCCTCGTCAAAATTAACCGCAGTTCCCATGCAGGGGCCCTCCAAGACGGTGTAACCAAGCTTCAGGTCTGTCTTTCAAGGTAGACAATCAGCTGCCAGCATTTTACTTAGAAGGAAAACTCAGGCCTGGAATGTAAGGTGGCTTGCACAGACAGAAAAAGGTGAGGAAATCGGGAAAACCCGCCCGCTCGCTCTCCTGGGTCTGCAACAGCCTCCCAAGTCCATGACGAGCCGCACGGCGCTGCCCAAGGGAATGCCAGAGGTCAGTCATTGCCTTAGAAATTATAATAATTCCTGTGGTTACGGAATAAGTACAGTTGCCGAACAATACGCAGGCATTGCCATTTTCTCCTCAGGCACACGGACAGAGCCACGGCCTATTTAGAGAAAACTAGCCATGCCCTTGATTATAAACAAACACGCAGAGAAACCCACCTAAGGGGAGAATCGAGAGTTTTACAGGAGGGTTAGCTACGAGCACAGTGAAAACGTTTGGTGCGAGATACACGTAAAAAGAAAACAGTACTTCCCCCCTCTCTTAACCAAGTTACCAGTTCTTTTGCGCCTGAGCTTCTCCCTCAGCAAAACTGGCAGGTGTCTGCCTCCCTCACAACAACCCTGAGTTATTTTATTAATATTCGCACAGTATCGGTATCCTAGAATAAAGATCACTGATGTTGTAAGCCAATGTAATTTGCAAAGAGCCGATTTGGCCTCTTCTGCCCTCGTTTTTACACCCGTCGGGAGAGGTCCTGAGCAACAGCGGCTCCCGGCGAGAGAAAACGCAGCCGAGGACATTATGGCAGTGGCACACGTTAGCGTAAATCTCACGGTTTTGATCCTTTATTTATTTGGTAACACTCGTTACGAGCCAGTCACAGCGCAAGCATGCGAGGCGACTAGAGATGCGCAGAGGAGAAGGTTAGCTCCTGGCCTCCCCCCGCCCCCCCCCAAAAAAAAAAATAATTTGAGCACAGATTCCTCAGTGGGGCGAGGGGGTTTTGCTTCTCCAGTCTCCTGCAGCTCAGGAATTCGAGGCATGCGAGGCCCTGAGTTTCCTGGCAGATGACCTGCCAGAGCTTCCCCAAACTGGAGAAATTCAGAGGAATTTTGACCATCTTAGGACTTTCTGTCTGAGCCTTGCACTCCTTGATGACAAAATCCTGCTCCAAATAGAGCTGGGGTAAAGCCGCCCGGTGTCAAAGCAGTTCTAACCAATATCTGCAACTTCCTCTGTCCTCCACTGCCCCCATTTATAATCAATAACCAACTTCCACCTCACAACCAATTTACAACCAGTGTTACTGCGCCGTTGGCGGCCTTCATCCAACCCAGAGAGGAACACCGACGTCTCCAAAATTCACTGTAACGCAGCTAGAGGTTTGGGATAGGATGGGGAGTGGGAAAACCAAAGCCTGGATCTTCCTCACATGCAGCAAACGGAGCGTGGATGGACCAGGAGGCTTTATCATTAACCCCCCCATCACTCTCTTCACCCACTGCTACCCTCTTCATCCCTGTTTTCATTATTTCTTACGACTTACCACTTATTTCTGGCATTTTTCTGACACTGCGACCTCCCTATCTGGATAGGTATATCAAATTGCCCCACGTAACTAAAATAAAAGAATGGGAAGGGGACGTTCGCACAGCTAAAGGGAGGAGAAAGATGCAAACCACCAGAAGCCAAAAATAAAAGAAAAAGCCTGTAATCCCCTGGGAATCGCAGGAAAAACTCTTTCAAGTTCAAGCACCAACACGTAAGTAAAGGAGTTTTATCAGGGTTTCTTTTGCAAGGCGAGTATCCCATTTCAGGGAAGAGGCTTAACCACCAGTTGTCGGAGAGATTGAACAAAGCCAAACCAAAGAAAAGGCAATTTTTAGCAAAACAGTAACAAAACCAAACCCTCCAGAAAAGCTCATGGGTTTTGGTTGGAGTACAGACATGCTTAGCTCCGCTTTAGCAACATTACTATGTTTATATGAAAGAAAAACAACCCCACATCCAAGCAAAAACCAGTTAAAAGGCCTAGGATGGGTGGATCTAGTCTGAAGAGGCCAGAAGGGCTCAACTTAAAGTAAAAATACAACTTATAACTTATTCTAAAGACCAGAACAATCCTCCCTTCTTGGACTCAAAGCACCGCAAGTGCACCAACGCTTCCAAACCCACCAGCAATTACCGGGCTCACTCTGTACGGTATTTTTAAAGATTACAGCAAACACACAACTTTTCTGGAATGAGACAAAAACCCCCAGCATTTTCTTTTCCCTGTCGTACAAACGGGGAAGCATCGGCATCCTTGTCGAGAAATAAGTGGCTTTGCCCTTTTGCACTACCCCATTTCTGCTCTTATTTAAGATCCCCGTTTGCTTCCTGCCCAACGTCAAGTTTTCTCATCGACACAGAGCTGACCTCGTGTCTACAACCTTCAAGCCGGATGGCAATGCATAAAACCATTCATTCATTTTATGTGTTGGAAGATTTAGGGCTACATTTTTGTTAATAATTAAGACTCAAAGGTGGCAGAGGATTTTGCTGTAACATCAAGTGTTTGTAAAAATAACAAACCCACTTTTCATAATTAACTCTCCTGTCATTCACTAATTTGTTGGGAAGCCCATGCCAACTGAACCGGGTTTTTATTCGCTCAGGATTAGGACCCACACGCTGACGTACCAGCTTCACAATTCAGAACATCATCCTGCCTCTATCAGGTGAAAACAGTAAATAATCCAAAACTTACACACACTTAGAAAAGGTGTCAGCTGGGAGAGAAATACCCTTTTTCACGCAAATAAATTTGTAACGAGACTGTTTTGAACGTACCTAACGTGGTGGGTTTTATCAACTCATCGTAAACGTCGTAGAAGGGCAACCTCTTCATCTTGACATCCGGATGGACGGGATGGATGGGCGGCGATAGGTGCTGAACGTCTGCCTCATGTTTGGGTCCCAGCGCGGGTACCGGAGGCAGCAGAGCCGCCGGCACGGCGGCGGCGGAGCTGTGGTCATAGGGCAGGTGACACACCGTGCCCTGCGTCAGCGCGGTGGCTGAGGGCAGCTGCCCTGCCTGAACGTGGAGCATCGATAAGTCCGAAGGGGTTAAGATCTTTCTCGGGAACCTCCGGCGGTAAAGTTCTTTAATTTTCATCTGGACGGCCGGGCTGCAGCCAGATTTCAGCAGCTGTAACGCCTTTGTGAGAAGTTCGTGCTTCCTTCCACTTTTGTTCCTTCCAGCAAAGCCCAAGAGAACTTGTAATTCCGATACCCTAAAGCTCATCACCATATGCTGCAAGAAAACAAAACAATCACCGTTACAATCGCTCTGCGAGCAGATGCAATCCAAAAAACAAGCCATGGGTTCACTAAGGAAGATGGTGGAGGCCTTAAAAGAGACACTGTCGCGTTTGAAGTTCCCCTGTCCTCGTCCTCAATAACTCGCCAGTAGCAGAACCGTAAATATTTAGATTTGTTTTTACTTTCAGATACTTTGGTCAGATCTGGAAATGCAAAAAAGTTGCATTTGCTTCCCAATTCGATGGACGTCCAAGCAGTTTCTGATACTCAAACGATGGTTAAATCACTTTCCTGTCGAATAAAAACTGACAATTTCTTGTAGGGTCAACCTCGCGTTTAAACTACAGCTTTTTGTACCCCTCTGGGTTTAAAGCTCTCACTTTTGAGAGAATTGTTCTCAAATGAGTTACAACTCCGTGTGGTTTAAGTCCATGATTTCGGTTCCACGGAGGGGCTTCATCTGGCTGCAGCAGAGCACTGGGGGGGTAGAGGGGAAAGGTTGGCTTCTACAAGTTAAAAAATGGCAAAAATCTGCAGTTCCTTCGATAAAAGAAACGCAAAATAAAAGCTGAAGCCTCATCAGTTTGTCAGGAGGGGTATTTTTGTGCCCGGACTGATTCTCAAACCCAACAGAGCTTCCTTCCTTCCTGACAGAAACACCTCGACTTTACACACCAAGTTTTCTACAGTCACTTCTAAATACCAAATTAATTAAACACCTCCATAATCTACAGGTCAAGCTTATTAGGTAGTTAATTGATTCTGGTCTATGCACCAAGAGGTTTTAAGGCAGTTTAATTCGCTGTATCGGGATTGTGTTACCCACGCAGCATCTCAGGAGGACAACGTGACAGATGTTCCGCTTCCCCGTGGGGAAAATACAAAAAAAAAAAAAAAAAAAAAAGGAAGTATTTGGTAAAGCTATCAAAGCCAGCTCCGTCATTACAGCAAGGCCTGGTGAGGTTTCGTGTAGAAAAAACCCTGTAGGTCGCACAGGATTTGCCTATTACCTTTGCTGGGTGATAAATTCAAGAGAAGAATGATGAACTTTATATTTTTTTTTTTCCCCCCTTTTTGGAGCTGGGAGGATTTGTTAGAAGTGGGAAAGCTCCGTCACTGAAGAGGAAAAAGCTCGACTTGGGGTCTCTAAACTTTGACAGTGCCTGTTTTAAACACCTCTTGGGAAAGATACATTAAGGATTCACATTTATCAAATATTCATCCCTCCCCTCTTGCGACAATCGTTCTAAAGGAACCGACCTCTTCCCACATCCATTATTCCCACAAAATCCTCCGGACAGAGTCCTTCAACTGGCAGGAGATCAGTGTAGCATGGCTCACCAGCACGAGATTCACATTTATCATTAAAAAAACACTCGCATTCGTGACCTAGGATGGCTGTGTCACCACCGCTGCGGCAGCTGTGGACTCTTATCTACCCCCGAAGCTTCTCCGATTACTGCTCAAGGTATCGGAGCAGCGGAAAAAAAATTCTCTTTATTGCCCTAAGAGATGGCAATCGAGAGATCTCAGAGGCTTGGGTAGCGGCTGGATCCGCAGCAGACTCGATTCCCATCGTGCCGCTGTTGAACAAGGCACGTCTGCAAACCTCTTCTCTTTCCAGGGGAGTCACCGTTCGGTCTTTTAAATAAAGGAAAGTGTCTTAAGCCAACCATGGGCTTTATAAGGAGAAATCATTTCATTTTTAACTGGCCCGTCTTGCTTTTTGCAATGAGACACAGATGGTAAAAAGCTTAAACAAACTCCTGGCGAGGAAACCAGAAAGGGGGTTAGGGGAGATGGACGAGGGAAAGGGAGAAGAGATTCAAAAATAAACTGAAAAAGCTTCAAATAATGCCAAGCTCCACCAAAAAGAGCTGGCGCCTGGGGGGCCGAACCCCAGAGATGTAAACCTGCACGCTGAGCTACACCTAGTCTTAAACTGCAATTCCTCCACAGGGATTTATCCGCAGAGGGAGCAGAGCAGAAAACATTACAGACGCTTCACCCTGCGTCGTGCTTGGCTTTACCGCCTGCTAAACTACGTCCCCAAATCGCAGGATTACGGACGTGGTTGCCAGAGCTCGACTTCTGCGCCGTCCCAAGTCACCTCATTACAATTATCAGATCCAATTTTCCCACTGATATTGTTAACGTTTTGCCACTTGATAGGGCTCCCGTTGTAGTCAGGCTTAAGTTTTAGGGGAGGGAGAACGATCGTATCATAAAGCTGTATCTAAACTACGTCCCCAAATCGCAGGATTACGGACGTGGTTGCCAGAGCTCGACTTCTGCGCCGTCCCAAGTCACCTCATTACAATTATCAGATCCAATTTTCCCACTGATATTGTTAACGTTTTGCCACTTGATAGGGCTCCCGTTGTAGTCAGGCTTAAGTTTTAGGGGAGGGAGAACGATCGTATCATAAAGCTGTATCAAAATTTGGACAGGGCACTGCTGGAAAGATTACGGACAGGTATCACTCCAGAGAATTATGTTCTTGCTGCAGCTGTCTGCCAAAAAGGTGCCAGTTCCCAAAGGCTTACTGTTCCCAGCATGGGGAAGGGGGCAGGACTCCTAGGCCACTTCAGCCAGCTAAGACCTATATTCCAGCCT